GGTTTCTGGTGCTGCAGTTCAATCTACTTCAGTTTACTTTTGCCATCCACTGCATGTACCAAAGACCATTTTTACCCCAGAACACATTACCATTTAAGTGATTATCCAAATTAGTTTGACATCTTCATACCCGAACCACAGAGCTATTCTGGGCTTACCTGAAACTTCCTACATCATTCGATGGTGACACACAGCTAGACAGTTTGGACAGTATCAGCAAATGCCTGAAGTAGAAATACAGTGAAAGCAAATGATATGATGTGTGAAATGTCTGCCAGGGCGTCACCTACCCAGCCTGCCACGGGATGTGGAGTAAGTGGGCTCCTCCGCTGGAGAGAAGCAGGTTGGCCACCACATCATTCTGTGGTAAGTTCATAGGCTTATAATTTTATGTAAGTACATATTTCTATTAGCTGTATTTTATTTACTTCATGATTTGAAAGAGAAATGCAAACCCTCTGCCCTTTGCACCTGCCCACATACCCATTCAGTTTGAACTCTGAGCTCAGGGACCTGGGAGTCTTTTTGTTTAATGTGTCACCGTTATATCATTTAAAGCCAACCCTCAGAACAGCTCTCATAGTAAACTAAAATGGATCTAGAGGTGTCAAATATGAGAAAACATATCTTTTTTTTTCCCATTTGTTCCATCCTTAGGGATTCCATTTATTACAGACATTGAATTTACCCTTCTAAACAAGCATGCATGTAAAAAAACTATCTTAAAAGGATTCGAGTACCTTAGGCTTGTTGCTCTGTAACATACTTCAGTGGAGATGATGTAACTTGTTGACACCGGCTGTTTTGCTTCACTCTGTTTTGAGTTATGATCAGTCTTGTACTTTGCTCTCTTCCCTGGTTCCCTTTCCAATGCTGACAGCTGGCCTTCTGGAAGATTGTGGGAAATTTCAGATGAAATTGTGCAAGATTGTGCCTTGGGGGAAATTTCAGAAGACTTTGGGGAGAGGAACCTGGGGGAAAGATTGGAGAAATCAAACTCACTCATTCCCTTTGGAATGTTTCTAGTCTCTGGCAAGAGCCTTAAACTGTGTTGTGAAGCAGTGGGCGGGAAAAATACTGATATTTTACACCTTGTTCTTCAAGGAAGTTACCCTTGTTTTGCTTACAGCCACACTAATGAAAATTAAAAAAAAAAAAGGGGGGTTTTCCACTTTCAATCCCATCCTCCAGGTAGCATTTTTTGCCACAGATCGCTCTGTGCTACCACAGTTTCTTGTCAGAAAATACTACTGTAAGTGTCACACCTATCTGGCCCTTTCCCAGGTCTAGTTTGAGCTGTTCACTCCTCATACACTCTCCTATCTACTGTCTTCAACTTCTTTTGATAACCCTGCAATCTTCAGTTAGCTCGTAACTCCAGGGAAAGTGTGAATGTTAGTATCTTCTTACCAGCTGCAGGCTGGATTTGAGTAGATGGCTAAATGCAAGGAAGCTAAGACATAGTCCCAATGTACTCCCTCTGCTTTTTTACCCTGAAAAGTTCAGATATGAAGAGTACAGGGCAGGAATGGTTCTTGGAAACCAAATTTCAAATGCGCTTGCATTGCAGTGAAAGAAAAGGCATTGCTTGTTACCCCACTCTGTCATTTCCCTCTAAGACATCCTCATTATCTGTATTCGGTGTGTCCCTTCCCATCTGTAACAGGTGAACTGGAATGGTGAGTGAATATCTAGTAACAGTGGAGAAAAATCATAAATAGTAGGACTTTGAAGAGTAAGCAGTTGGGAAAGGTAGAAGAGAAAACAGTGAAAATAAACACAAATTGTAGATGAATGTATGTGAGAAAGAATATTCAATAGAAAATGCAAAAGTCAGAGGAAAAAATGGTCCATCCATTGTCAGTGGAACTGAAATGTTAGGGAAAATACAGCACTAAAATGCAGAGGAAAGGATAAAAGGAGTGAAGTGAGGGGAAAAAAGCAGCTTTTCATATTATAGGAATTCTATTTTTACTGCAGATGACTCCAGGATTTAGTGATTATTTAGGTGTTTTCATTTTCTGTAGAAGAAAAAACCAAAATAGAAACCTCTCCACCCTCAATGGTCTTTCATTGAAATCCTAGCACTGGGTAGAGAAAGATGCAACCTGCAGCCCAGCATCCATTTTAGTGGCTACAGGTCACTGATTCTTGCACTTGAAAGCTGCATAGGGACAGTGGAAAAATTTGGAAACCCCATGTTTCCTGCTTTCTCCGACTATATTCTTGCCTGGGGCTTTGCTATTGCTGTAGGAAAAATGAATTGCACAGAGATGAGGGAGAAGGGTCACTGTGAACCACTGCAGAGAAGTATTTGGGAGGAAATAAAGCATTACCAAATGTTCATTAACAAAGTATGCTACACTCTTAAAAATACAAGTATCTCATTTCCTGGAAAAATGTAAAGCAACGCTTTCGTATGTGAAGCCACTGGCGCAGTCTTGCATTGAACCCAGCCGTCCAGATTGCATAAATTCTACCCAGGGTCTTCACGGAAACTCTTTTCCAAGCACTTAAATACTCATCTCTTTCTCCAAGTCACTCAGAAATATATTTCACCAGTATGATATATTTCCCAACCAGAAACCTTGGCACAGAACACTTTTTCCGGGCCCCCCCCCCCACCTCCCCCTTGTCAACTTCTGACTACTTATTCCAGCTGCTTGTTCATGCTGCTGGTATGAACTAAACATAGTTAAACAGACTCAGGGTTGGTCTGAACACCCCCCCCACTAACAGCACTTGTGGGATCACGGGTCTAAAGCCATGACAAGGGCCTCCCAGCAGATCTGCAACCATCAGGATTCCTGGACACCAAGAAGGCTTTTAAAATTTGGGCCAGTTGGTACTGGAGGCTGGGCTTGTCTGTCATAGCTGACATGTTTCCTTAATCCTCTTTTCTCCTCAGGGTCTTATGCAGGTGCAGTGGTTGCCATGCCACTGGCAGGTGTGCTGGTACAGTATATAGGATGGTCATCAGTCTTTTATATTTATGGTGAGTTGCTTAACATAAAGGATCTCTGTGACTAGACTGGTACTGCCAGCAGTTTTGCTAAACCTGTAGAACAAATATGGATCAAAGTTGTTTTGGAGAATGAAGATGTTGCAAATGGGTGTTCAATTTACTCCCTGCTTATTGCAACTTCTGAAAGCTTTTATTTTGTAATCATCTGTTATAAATATTTCAAAATTGGAATGACCAGGATACAGCCCATGGTTGCCCAGTGACAGGGTTGGATGCAGTTGCAAAGGTTGCTCTGTAGCACAAACACTCACGTGGTACGTGTCCCGGAGCACACGCTAATGGCATGTGCTGCTGATGGGGAGCTGAATGCACTGCTTTTACCCAGGGAGGGCAGCATGCAGCAGAGGTCTCAGGGCAGAAGGTTTCAGAGGCAAAGTGGTCCCATTGCAGCACTTGTGGCTGTGCTGTAATGTCCCATGCTTCCCACTACAGTACGTGACAGAGCTGTCTCAAACCCGGCCTCGCACATCAGCAACCCAGTTAAGATGGGTTTTTGCTGTTTCCTCTGGAGACACAGAGAACACCACAAGATTTGCCATTGCAAGCTGATTGTGAAGTTCTTTTACTCAGATTGTGACTATGTAATGACGAGTCTGCTTTTTTTCCTTCCCCAAGTCACACATAAAGCTTTGCTTCTTCCTTTTGTCTGTCTCATGCATGTCACGTAATACAAGTGACAAAATGTTCAAATGCTTTGCAAGCAAGCGTACAATATACACAGAGTTAGTTGTGTTATTTTCTTACTTACCTGGGCATATTTTCTATGCAGATTTGGTTTAATTGACTCTTGAAACAAGCCTCAAGGCCTGCAGATACTGAAGTGTGGCTTTACTGGCTTTTAAAACCAAGCTTTTCTTTTCCTGCCTCTGCAGGGATGTTTGGGATTGTTTGGTACATGTTCTGGCTGCTTCATGCCTATGAGAGTCCTGCTGCACATCCAACAATAACCAATGAAGAAAAGATATATATAGAAACAAGCATTGGAGAAGGTTCCAGCTTAGCTAGCGCAAGTGTAAGTAAAAAAGGGGTTTTGTTTGTAATTTGAGAGCACGTATGACTGGATGGATACTATTAGCTGCATAAGAGCAGCAGAAATATTTGCTTTTGGTGTTTAGGGACTTTTTGGTTTATGAAAATTACAGGATCAGGTTGATGCAGCTGGACAGGATGAGTTCAGCTACAGGCAAAACACACAGTGCTGTTTCAGCTCTTGGCTTATAGACCCTACCTAACCTAGGGAGGGAAAGGAGTGGAGAGAGAGAGAGGGGAAACAACACACTTCGATCTCCTGCTTTTGAGTAACTATCATGTTTGTTCTAAAAAAATAGTACTGGACATAGCTAAATAAGAAACTGGCTGCAGATGTTAAATTATCCTTCTGCCTTTTGAGCTCTTATTAAGAATGATGGAAATTCTGAAAGCTTAAGGACAGAGTTTCTGCCCTGCTCACTCTCACAGCAGCTTGTCTCATTGTCTTGAGACTTCTCTCTCTGAGAGGAGCCTGAAAGATCCTGAAAAAAATAAAACAATTTTCCCCATCAAACTTCTCTCCATTTTCTTAGATAATTTTTTTCTGCTAGTAGTGAAAACCAAAGCTGTTTCTTGATACACTGTTCCTTCTTGTTTTTTACTCTATAATATTCTGGAGCAAAATAACTCCAAACTCTTTTTCTCTACATATTCTGTGTGACAACCTCGGTGAGAGTATAAAGTATGAAACTCTCCTTTGGGCATGCTCCTTAAGTCACTCGGGTCTTGGCTGAAGACACACGCTTGTTCTAGGTCATGGTTTTCCTCTTGCTGTACAGTGGTTTTACTGCAGAGGACACTAGTGCCACCACCATGTGTTCACACACCGCAGGCATACAGTTGTTTGTAGAACACAACTACCATTTGGAAAAAAAAAAAAAGAGAGAATGTCAATGTATATTGCCATGGTTACATATTTCAGCTTCTGATTAGATTAATATTATATGCGTTTTTTGTTCCTGGTGTATGGAGTATTGAGGCATAAATAGAAACTGGAAATGCCAAAAGCAAGTTACAGAAATTAAATAGTCTACCGCAGACTTTTTTTTTGCTGAATGAAATAAATTTTGTTGGAGCAGGTGGCTACCTGTTTCTGCGCCAGCACATATTTCTTAGCTTGGATAACCCTTTTTTCACAGTCCTTTCAGTGGAATGTCTTAAACCACATCATGCCAAAAAGTGGGGAATGGCACAAGGGTTTCCTTTTAGTTTTCTTTGATTCTGTTATTGATCCTGTTATACCACTAGCAGGATTCCTGAAGGCCTTGTGTAATTTCAGTAAGTAGAACAATAATAGTAGTCATCTTAAAAATCCTAACTATGCTGACAGAATTTCTCTATTTGTCTTTTGCCACTAATCCAGTAGATGTCTTTCATTTGCATTGGAGGAGATTTGCAGTGTAAATCAGATGCATTGTATTGGATAGTCCTGATACTAAAAGATACTTTAGTATCTTTGGTCTTTTTATTCTGCCTTCTGCCTACTCAAAAAAGCCTTCATTTTTTAATTTTTTTATTTTTTCCTAGAAATTTAGTACTCCCTGGAAGAGATTTTTCACTTCAATGCCGGTTTATGCAATCATTGTGGCAAACTTTTGCAGAAGTTGGACCTTTTATCTGCTCCTTATAAGTCAGCCTGCTTACTTTGAAGAAGTCTTTGGGTTTGCGATAAGCAAGGTAAATGCCTGAGATGAAGCAGTGACCTTCAGACCTCACCCTAGGAGATGCAGAGTGCTTGAAGATTCCCAGATCTCTCTGGAGTCGCTACAATAGATTATGTTCAGTAATTGGTATGACATCCTTCTAGTCATCTGATAGAAATAAAAGCTTGCTTGCATCAAATTATTAGCAAAAGGAAAGAACCAGAAAAGTTGTTTTTTTTGAGTTAGTTAAAAAACCCACGCGTTATGAAAACAAAAAGTAAGTAAATAGAAATGCACATTTTTTTTAGTGCTGGCAGTTTAGCATTACTTGACAGGTATTTTTTGTCCTTTTTTTTTTTTTATTTAATTGTTTTTCATTGACAATGAGGGGTCAAATTCTTTACAAATTGCTGTTACCTGCCACTACCACTTCATTAATGCCAGTATTGTTACACTTCATCTTCAGAGAATGAATGAGAACTTTAGCATATTTGTTCCAGAAATGTTTGCTCAATGTTCCTTTAAAAAACCCTACTTGCTATATTGTAAATTACTTTCGAGCAAGTGTAATCCTGCGAACTGTCAACAATCATCATCATTATCTGTGTGGTCTGGGAGCACCAGTGTGCCTGAGTTCTGCAATGTTGTTATCGTAGCAATGACACTCTGAATGGCCAAGTGCAGCATGGAGGTGAAGAGCAGGGCTATTAAGACAAAATAGGCTTGTTTATTTTGAATTGCCTTTCATAAATGTTAGAGTTGCACCTCTGTGTACCTCATTAGTTAAAAACTAGTGTAAAACTGACTCAGTGTCAATGTAAGGAGGTTGCACATCCTAGAAAATAAACTCAAACTTCTCACTAAATTACTTCTTCAAAGAAATCTTCTAGAAGGTGACATGCTGATCACTAAAACTCCACAAAACTGTCCTTTTGCATATCTGGGAAAAGTACCAGAGCTAGCAGGAACAGTAATAACTCTTTGGCAGAAAACTTACCAAGGGGAAGTCAAACCTGACCAACTTGATAAAATTCTATGATGAAGTGACTGGCCTGGTAGACAAGGGGAGAGCATTTGATATTGTCTACCTAGACTTCAGTAAGGCCTTTGACACAGTCTCCCGTTAAGATCCTCACAGACAAGGTGTTGACATATGGGCTGGTTGAGCAGAGAGTGAGGTGGATTGAAAATTGGCTGAATGGCCAGGCCCAGAGGGTGGTGATCAGTAGCATGAACACTAGTTGGAGGCCAGAAACTAGCGGTGTACCCCAGGGGTCAATACTGGGTCTGATCCTGTTTAAGATCTTCATTAAGGATCTAGATGGGGCAGAGTGTACCCTCAGCAAGTTTGCAAATGACACAAAACTGAGAGGAGAGGCTGATATGCCAGAAGGTTGTGCTGCCATCCAGAGGGACCTTAACAGGCTGGAGAAATGTGCTGACAGGAACCTCATTAAGTTTAACAAGGGGATGTGCAGAGTCTTGCACCTGGGGAGCAGCAAGACCATGCACCAGTACATGCTGGAGGGCCACCCAGCTGGAAAGCAGCTTTGCAGAAAAGGACCTGGGCATCCTGGGCAACACCAGGTTGAACAGGGGTTCAACCAGCAGCGTGCCCTTGCATTAAAGGAGGTGAATAGTATCCCACGCTGCACTAGGCAAAGTATTGCCAGCAGGTAGAGGAAGGTGATTTTTCATCCCACCACAGCTCTGATGAGTCCTTATCTAGAGTAGTGTTTCCAGTTCTGGGCTCCCTAGTACCAGAGAGACATGGATGCACTGGAGAGAGTCCAATGAAGGTCCTCAAAGATTATTAAGGATCTGCAGCCTCTCCAGGTCCTATGAGGAAAGGCTGAGAGCTGGGGCTGTTTAATCTGGAGACGTTTCAGAGGGATCTCATGAGTGTGTACAAATACCTGAAGGGAGAGTGTAAAGAAGACGGAGCCAGGCTATTGTCAGTAGTGTCCAGTGACAGGACCAGAGGCAATCGGCACATTCAGAAACACAGAAGGTCCCATATGAACATCAGGAAATACTTTTTTAGTCTGAGGGTGACTGACACTGCCAAGAGAGGTTGTGGAGTCTCCATCCTAAGGTCACCCAGGTCTTGGTTGCAGGTTCTGTTGGAGGACAGGTCTGCAACCCTCCCACACAAGGATGCAGGATAAAAATGTGTCCAACAGCAGGAGGGGGGTGGGGAAGAGGTGAAGAAAAGGTATGGTTCCTGTTGTCTTCCCCCTAAATCCTGAGGGAGGACGTGAGCAGTAAGCATTAATTTGTCTAATTGCAGGTTGGCCTTTTGTCAGCAGTTCCTCACATGGTCATGACAATCATCGTACCCATTGGAGGCCAACTAGCTGACTTCTTACGGAGCAGGAAGATTTTAACCACCACCGCTGTAAGGAAGGTCATGAATTGTGGAGGTACTATTGAATTCTGAAAATACAGTATTTCAGTTGTGTGCTGCTGTCGGTGCAGGTATCATAGTTTGGTCCGTATTTAACTGTAATGACATAGATTACTTCAGATTGTGTTTTCAGCTAGTTAAACTGAAACATTTAATGGAGAGCTGATGTTATATAGTCTCATGGTATAAATCCTTACTCATGTGAGTATGCTTTTAAAAATGGAGGAGGCAAGAAGCCTGGTTGATAATTAGAAGGATAATAAGAACCAGCCCTGAAGAGTGGTGTGATGAAATAGGCCTCATCATGCAATTTCGTACAGATAAAGCTAACCATGTACTGTGTGGTGCTGGAGAGACTTTCCTAGTGGATACAGCCTTGCAGCAACTAGCCACGTTCCCATGTTGGCCATGTTCTCTCCCAGCAGAACCCACCGGCAAGTTTAGGACGGAAGCATTGGGTAAAAGAAAGGTGGGGGATGGATGGACTCACTTTTACTTAGCACAAAATAATTTATTTCCAGTTCAGTCACTGAACTGAAAAATCAATGATGTCTACGTGTAAGGAAAATACTAAATTAGAGCAAAAATTTCAGGCCAGATAACCTGTGGAGTCGCTGTCCTCTGCCAGTTCTTGGCTTGCATTATTTATGGACGGCACAGGCTGCCCAAAAAAGATGCCGGCAGTCAGAAGTACCATGCAGCTTGGCTATGCATCTTCACAAAGGCTTCTCAGATTTATTGTATTTTCAGGGCATATTTATAGTGTCATTCAGAAAAAAATAAACAGAAGAATTGTAATGTTACGTACTTGAAAAAGCTAATTTGCAGTAATGGCAGAGACTGAAAGTTCCCTGTGATGCTCAGGGATGCCCTATTGTGTTGGTGGCACACTTGTCTGAAAAATGCTCATTGTTCCATTTGCCAAGAACATCTCACATCACTACAACCCTGAGAAATTGAAGGCAAGAAGTATTTTTCTCCTTTCCCTATCATGCTTGTGTGTTTGTGAATTATTCAGTGCTTTGCACAGCGTCATATTCTCCTTGTTTTCCAGTACTGCCCAGTGAGTTAACTTCACCAAGTGCTTGAATCATTTACACAGTGATGAGGAGAAAAAAGTATATTCTCAAACAATAAATACTCAAATATTTCTGTCAATCCTCAAAGCTGCCAAGTATGTTCAAGAATAACTACAAGATATGAAAGAATTTTGTCTCATTTTAGGTTGCTATTCTGGCTAGAGCTTAGTATCTCTGTGACCAATAGTAATTTAAATGCAATTTATTACCATGTGTTTCATTTGAAGGATTTGGGATGGAAGCAACCCTGCTTTTGGTGGTTGGTTATTCTCATACAAAAGGTGTGGCTATTTCCTTTCTGGTGTTAGCAGTAGGCTTCAGTGGCTTTGCAATTTCAGGTAAGAATTAATTTTACTATTGGCTTTACTATTAGTGATAAAAGCGATGTTGTTATCCTCACTGATGTTACTGTCATCGCTTCTATTATTCTCTTTGCTCTTAGTGTGGCTGTTATGGGGCATTCCCGGTTTCTTCCCATATCAGAAATAATCTGCTTCAATATCTATGAAATGCATTGCACATAGGACATGAAACTGAAAGAACCTAGTCTTTACTGATTCCAGCTTACATAAACTTTGTGCTGTTATTTTCTAATATACTTTCACAGTGTCAGCCACCTTTTCTTCTTCCATAAATAGTATCTGGAATGAATACTCTGGAATGAATAGTTGTTCAAAGGCTATCAGTTGCAACCCTGCTCCCAGCCCTAGCTGCCAGTTTCTGCTTTCTAGATCAGTCCTCTCTCTGGTGTACCCTATAACTAGCCCTTCTCCAGAACAGATATTTCTAAAACTTTTATGAGTCTCACCAGTCTCAGACTGACTTTTGTAGCTCCACCAGTACCATTGTTGTTAACCCTTTTTGTTATGAAGATGGAAGGCCAGCAGCTAGCAGACTGCCAAAAAGATGGATCTATTGAGCAAAATTGACCAGCAAAGTAACCGTTGGTCTTCAGTTGTTCCAGGATTGTGCAGATGGGAAGTGGTTTTGCTACTGTCCAAGGCTGACGCTGGGCCGGTCACTAGCGAATGACAGATGCTCTCTATTAACCCCTTTCCCCTCCCAGAAGGGGAAGGGAAGAGAGAACAAGGGAGAGAGACTTTACGGTTTGGAAAAGAAAACTAGAATAGCTTTAATGAAACAATAACGATAAAAGGAAAGATAATAAGAAAAATAATGAAATATAAACAAAACCAACACGGAACCCAACTTGCACCCTGCCACCCTGCTGACCATACATCATCACTGATGCTGCAGGGCTGGCACTGGGGAAATCCCAAGCTGGACTCAGCAGCAGATGGGAACCAGATCCAGGAGATGGATTCAGGAACCGCATTCAGAGATGCACGGATCGGGATCGAAGACAGAAGAATGGACCGAGTCCTCCTCAGATATTGACCATCAAAGAAGAGAGATTGACCCTTGTGATCGCTCAGCTTTATACTGAATATGACACTTATGGGATGGAATACTTAAGCTGGTCAGTTTTGGGTTACCTGTCCAGTTCGCTCCTCCCTGCACTGTGACATTTTTACGTGCTTGTGACTCTTTTCACTTTCAGGACCCCAAAATGGGGCACAAGACTTAGCAGTGACCTTGGTTGCTATAGGAGCAAGTATAAGCAGGAGACTTTCTGCATCCCATTCCTTGGTAGTAACTGTAAATATTGAGTGCTGTCACTACTAGAAGTGGATGCTGTCTGGAAAAACATGCAGCCAACTTCAGAAAGTAGAGTTACTCAGAAGAGACTTAACTGAAAAGTACAATCACTGAACAGAATTAGTTGTGCTTTAGCTCAAACCAGGACAGCTACTCATTAACAAGGTTCTTGCATAGCAGGCCACTTCTATCAATCAATTTTTATTGCAGGACTTTCCTAGTACTCAACTTTCTACTGTATTTAATCCCCTGGACTTGGAATTCATCATCCTTTCTTGTGCTCATTCATAGCTCCTACGACTAGTTTTCATTACCTAAAGCAAAGTGGTTATCTGAGCTGATTTTTACTATTTGTTTTTATTTCTTAATAAAACATATACCCAGAACATATGCTACAGTAAGGGTAATTATTTTTCCTACTGGTTTATGTTTTGGTTTTTTTTATCATGTCGTTAATCTGCTAAAGTACCAGAAAACATGTATTAAAACCCACTAATATCTAAATAAAAAGGCATCAGATATTTGACAAACATGAGGCATTCATTCCTTAATTAAAAATGTTTTCTAAGTGCATTGTTTCAGTATGAGAGGATGGGGAGCACAGATACTTTAAAGAACTCCAAAACAAACTGTATTTTCAATACAACAAGATCTCAATAGGTGGGGAAAAAAGAGGTTTCGAAAAAGAATAGAGTTGCGACATAAGAATAAAGAGTTGCGACATATCTTCCACCTTCATCACCAAGAAAATATTCTCCTTCTTTCTCATATAAATGGTAATGGAATTTCCTGCATTTTTCAGGTTTCTTCAGCCATAACAGCTGTCAAAAGCCCTGATGGCCTGGTAGCGCAAAGATGTATAGTTGACTGTTGTCTCTCATTTGTTGTAGGATTCAACGTGAATCACTTGGACATCGCCCCGCGCTACGCCAGCATTCTGATGGGGATCTCCAATGGTGTGGGAACACTGTCAGGCATGGTGTGCCCACTCATTGTTGGTGCAATGACGAAACATAAGGTAACATTTCTCCATGTTTTCTAGGAAAAGGATTAGGTAATGCAACAAAAGTTAAGACATTGCGAAGCTTCCTGGGAACTCCATTTCATCATCGATCTCTGCAGCTGTTTTCTGTTGTTGTTTGTTTTAAACATTCACTTTTACAATATCATAGAGGCGAGATTCTTGACTATTATAAACTAATTATCTGTGAAGGGAGATATTATTTTATATCACCTGAGGCTGGGCCTCTGCAACATCTCCATACTACTAGGTAATGCTTACAGGGCTTGGGAAACTCCTCTACAACACATCCCTGGTCGGGTTCCTAAGCAATCACTGATCTACAATAAGATTAACTTAGTTGTTAGAGAAATCCCTGCATTTCAAACTCCATGAATATTTCACATGCAAGAGAGAAACTTCACTGTGAGAAATTAAAAAAAAAAAATTTCATGTTTTATTTTATTGACCATTGTTATGAAAAAAAAAATCTTCACAATGACTCTGATAAATTGTTCTATCTGTAACATCAGGAATCAGTGATCACGGTCATTGTTCAATATGTGCTAATTCATAATCTAATTCAGAGTAATATTTCTTTTTACTGCAAACTTAATGAGACCTGTACCATTCTTTCAGACCCGGGAAGAATGGCAAAATGTCTTTCTGATCGCAGCTCTGGTGCATTACAGTGGAGTGATATTCTATGCTATCTTTGCTTCTGGGGAGAAGCAGGTTCCTGAAAACCTCAGTGAAGAGAAATGTGGCATAATTGATCAGGATGAACTAGCTGCAGAAACAGAGATGAACAATGAAACTTTTGTAAGTCCAAAGAAAATGTACGGTGCTACCAATCAAAACAGGGAAGTACAGAGAAGGGAATGGAGAAAGCAAAAGCAAGGAACTCAAGACATGGAAGAACAGACTTCTTACCATTATGAAAATGGAAATTTTCAAGATTTGTCATAATACTTGAAATTGTAAGGTTTGTATAACAGCTACTCCCATCCCTCCTCCTGCCTAGCTGCCCTAAATCATCTGGTATCCATATTTATTTTCTTATTCAATCGTGTAACATCTGGCCATGTGGCTAGATACAAGGGGTGGTAGTTCCCTGCTAACAGTATGGAAGAGGGCTAACAAAGATGGGACTCAGAGAAATGATACTAAATCCTAGCTCAGGCATCATACCCCCTTGGGAGGATCTCCTGTACCTGTTAGATGACCAGCCCTGGCAGGACTCCTGCCTGGTGTAAGCATATGACTGCAGGAGCAAGGAGTGCCCTCGTCTTCCCGCATGAACAAAGGACAAGGTCATATCAGATGGTGGATCCACAGTGATATATGTGATTACTGGGGCTCCAGTGGCATGAAAGTCTGGCCTGAGTGGCCTTGCTTTGCCATTTTAGAATTCCTGTAGGTTGGCATTTGAGCTGTTTAACCCGTGTCAAACTGCAAGCTCATGCTGAAAGAAAAGCAGTTTTATGGCCATAAGCTGTAATCAATTCCTAATGGTCACTCAACAACAGGAAGAGGAACACCTAGCGGAGATGGCACAGTTGCTTCAACTGTTCCTTTAAACTGATTGACAGTCTGCTTTATACACATAGCCCACAGAATCTGGATAAGGCAATAAAATGGATACTTGTGAGATTCCCCACTCACCTCACCCCACCCAGATTTTGTGCTGGCATGAAATAATTTTGAAAACAAAATCATCGTTAGTGATGCAAAATTAATAATCTTTATGAAAGGAAATCTTAGTCCTGTTTGGATTAGGTTTCTCACTCAATTCATTATTGTGAAGTAATTTAAATATATTTTTCTAGTATTATACTGATAGATTTCCTGGCCTTAACCCCAACAGTCCTCATTTAGGTGAATGAGCTTACTTACATGAGTAAAGCCTTTAGTTCTGGATCTGTAACTTTTCAATGCCTCAGTCTTGCTGTTGCTACAAATGAAGTACTGTACCATTTGAGAGTTAGCAGAGTATATCTCAAAGTAATATTCTTTTGCCATTGGTATGTGCTTGACAGTATAAAGTGGCTTTAGCCTTTTCCTGCCATTTTTAGAATCAGTCAGCGGAGCATGCTGTATCATCTCAAGCAGTTAGCTGCAACTAAGAGACTCACTGCGGCATTAATACTCTTTTCAGAATCGAGAATTTCAGTAAGCTGTGATTTAATTTGTCTTTCATTATGATTACTGCCTCATTAAATTCAAGTGAAACTATCCTGTCTAGCCTATGATGTGCTTTGTGATGTTTCAGTATTATTGTTCTCATGTACCATAAATAGCCACTGTGATGCACAGGACATCTGAACATTTCTAACCTGCATTTTGCTATTTTGTTGAAATGCGATTGAATACCATGAGTGGCATTACACTTGTACATTCATTTGAATCCATGGATGATTTATCTTCCCTACAAATGTAATTAAACATGAAGACCAGGAAGTTAGCTGATTCTCTTTTCATGTCTCTGGTTCCTTTTCTACCCAGCAAAATCCAATCTACAACTATACAAGGATAAGAAGTAAAGTGAGTTGAATGGATGCATGCCTAATTTGACTACAGTGAAGACTTCTTAATTGGTATCAGCAGATAATTTAATGATAGGGCTATTGTTATGGTGCAGCAGAATATTTTTTTCTAAATTCTAAACTTTAGTTTAGACTAGAGTTGCTTATTCCACTGACATTTAGAACAGGAGAAGAAAATATACTTTTTCTTGCAGGTTATAATCAACATTTGGGGACTTAAGTGGAAGAAGCTTGAGTCAAATGTCCTCACCCTCTATCTCAAAAGCTGGACCAGCTGCTGTCAAATTGTTTTGCAATGTCCAGCACAACTTACAAAAGAGAGGGGCCCCTTCTTTGCACGTGCACAAATCAAATGGCTTCCTCCTCCCTCTCCAATCCTCTAGCATGCATGTAGTTACTACAGGAACTCTTAACAGGGAAAATCATATTATGAAAAGATTTAATATAAGAATAATAACCTGGCAGAGAAGAAAGAGAAGACCAGACAATGGACTATTCTAGAAACAGTAAAGTTTTGTGAGAAGCAGCATAATTTTTTCAGTAATGATAAAGGGTAACTTTCCTGTCTTGCTAAGAGGAAAACTAAGGGAGTGATTGTTGTTGTTATGACAAGGAAGTACAAACATTCTGAAAGTTTGGGAAATGTCCAACCAGCACATGAGAGCTTAGTTGCCTCTCTGGTGAATGTAGCTGCTGGTTCTTACTGTTATAGATATGTCCCACAGCTGTCACAAGTGACATGTGATACAGTGAGGAGCTCAGTTTAGCAGGATCATCTAGTATCTGCAAACAGACTGCACCGATTTAGTTCAGTGGAAGTTTGGCTTCAATTGACATCTTAGCATTATTTAATGCCCTGAAAGAAATGCTTTAAAAACATTTGGACAAGCTTTCGCATTTAAAAAGAAGCATTTTCTTTCTTTTCTAAATCTAACTGCTTCCAGAGGCAGAATATCATCTCTGACCAGTTGAAGTTATGTCCAGACCACGATGCTTTTCCAGACAATTGCATTCAGATGTTTGTGCTGCCTTTCTCCCTTTCCTTTTCATCTATTTAAATTGTTCAGGAGTGTAAACGTCATCACTGGTTGGAAGTTAGTTTTCATTCCTGGAAATCTTTGTTACTTTATCAGCTCCTTGAGCTACACAGTGGCTTCCACAATACTGTATAACCAAGAATAAAGCCAACAGGCTTTGTAACTCCAGTTTTGCTGGCTGTTTCTATCTGCAGCCTGATCCAACAAGAAAAGGCTGTTGGAGCGCAATCACTGAGGGTGTTTCTGCTAAAATTGTCTTCTTGAAATATGCTAGAATTTGGAACATTTAAACAATCAGGCAAACAGCTGGCATATACCAACCTGACTTCAAAAAAGTCACACTAACACTACCAGATGAGAGTAACTCAAATGGTATTTTCTAAGGAGAAATACTAGCTTGATTAAACTTCATTTATGGCATTATTTGCATTTTTTTCTGTCCCCATGTCCAAAATAGCTTTTGCATATTTTCAAATATAAGAGTGCTCATACACTCAGAGTCTGATTTGAAAATGGCTTTCTGATTGCAGAAGGAACCAAAATTTGGATTATATTGGAAAAGATATGAAATGAGGAAGAATCAGCTCTCCATATCGTGAAATGGTAGAATAGATAGAACACAGAATATTAATTGAAGTCTGAGGAGAGAAAAAGTAGGATGGTAAGTCCTAGGTATATGTTGTTTGGTAGTGTTACCTACTGGTCTTCCTTACCAAAGAAAGCTACAGCTTTTATTTCCTTGACACCTGATGTTTTCTGGGTGCCACTAGCAGAAGTTTAATAGTAATTAATACTCCTCTCATGTAAGAGTTAAACAAAATGTTCCTTCCAGTGAGAAAGGAAAAATTAATGACAGAAACAATGAAAATTCACCTGAGTAGAAACTTATTCAGAGAAATAATCACTTAGTCCAAAAGAATATGCAGACTTTGGGGTAAAAAAATAAAACAAGGGCATCCAGATGTTAAAGTGCCAGGAGGAGTCTCTTGTGTGTAACATAATTAATTTGAAGTCAGCAAGGCAAAAATTAATTCAAGGTCACGCAAAATGTTTCATGGCTTAACTTGAATGTTTCCAGTTGACTCCAGTTGTCAGATAGTTACAGAGATCTTTAGTTTTTATTTTAGGAAAAATTCATAAAAACCAGTTTTCATATCTTATTTTTCTTCCTATTTTCTGTTAAAGACCTTAATTTGAGAATGCTATTTAATTATTTGTATTTGAAGAGAGAGGAGCTAGTATTTCTTGTGCTTAAAAGAACAGAAAGGGGAAAAGAGAAAAAGAGCAACCAAGTTGTAGCTAAGAACCAATGCAAACAGAGGGCTGAGGAAATCAGCTTCCGAATCCTGGAAACAGAACTTGGAGTTCTCTAGATTTCTGAGTTAAAAACCTATGGGATCGCTCAAGACCTGACATTCTGCATCATCCCAAGGTTCAGGGAGTTCACTCAGGTCCCGTTTCAAAGCCTAACTCTCATGAAATCAGGAATAAATAAATGGAGAGATTGAAAACTCCTCATTGTTATGTCATCCAAATACTTATGTTGGACTAGATAATGCTGCTCATGAGGTAACACTACTAGCACTACTGCAGCTCTATATGGCAGAAGAGACTCTGGCAGGCTGCTTTGTAAAAATGTTTTTAATTACTCTCTGATATCAGTTATTTCTTAACTTCCATTTGATAACAACGTTTAACTGGGACAGGAAAAATTGTCCATTTTTTATCTCAATGTTTTTTGGTTTTAGTGTTTATACTGCTTATCATTTTTACAGCTCTTCTATATGCAAAATTACATAAGTAAAGAAAAAAATCATGTAAGAAATGTAGTAAGATTGCACTTCTTTGTGCTGAACTATCTTTAAAATAACATAGTAAGAGCCAACACATTCTTCCCCAAGAGTATACCAGTCAGATATTTTAAGTCTTGATCATAATAAAAGCTTGACACATTTAATTTGTTTCCCCCCCATTTAATTAATGCATCAGATATCTGCAGCAGCCAACAGACATTTGTTTATGTATAATCATATTTATCTGCTGTACAAACTTTTGGCATCTCCTTTGCTCCGCTTCAGGTAAGCCTCAAACTAAGGTTCTACATACACAAAAAATTCAGAGGTCCTTTAAGGAGGTCATGGCTGTTTCGTTAAATACGTGTTAGGAAAACACTGGAATTCATTAAAAATAAATCTCTGTTGGCTCGGAGTTGTGTTTGCCAGTCATGTCTCATGAATCCTTGGAGCACCAACGTCAGGAAGACAATAACTTTTATAAACCAGGAAATATTTAAGGTACTCAATAAAGAGTTCTTCTCTCAGGAGCTGGCAGTCATCACCAGAAGCATCATGCCAGGTGCTTTCTCTCTGCTGGGCTTAGCTGTAATGAACAGCAAAGGAATTAGTCAGAGAACCTTGCTGATACCATGATTAAGATAAGGGGAATGG